AATAAACAAACAAAACAGCGGGGTAGAAATGGGAAGAGAAATAAAATTTGAATGAAGAGAAACAGCAGGACAATCGGACTATAAAACTTAAAACGAATGAATTCACCCCTCAGTAAATAAATAAATGAATAAATGATTAAGAAATCATAAATATCTTTCGTCTGTTACAAATTCAGATATGATGTGATTAAAGAATCCCACCTTATTAAAGCTGGTATGAACGTGAATAAACTTTAAAAATATCCACAGTGCAAATTATATCTTAGGCCTTTCGGTGGCAACCCTCCAGCGCTGCGGATGAATGCTGAAGATGAAAGGTATGCTACCGAAACGTCAACTATACTTCCCTCTTTCCTTGCATTCCCCCTTCATCCATGTCCCTGAAATGCGATCCCTGAAGCCCCTGGAGCAGCTCCTTACCTCCGCCTCAGGCACGACGATCGTCCAGACGTTCCCGATGGCGTCATAATCCGCGGACGCCCTGCAGACTCGTGCCGTTGGGTCTGACCAGGGTGGGTCCGCTTAACACGTGGCTCTTTACATCTGCCTTCAAGCGGAAAGTTAGGTTCCTGCCGACGGTGCTGTCGACGAGGAACAAGCCTTCGTAGGCCGGGTCCGCTGTCTGGATCTTCGGCGTCTCCTCGATCTGAGGGAGGAGGCAGAGCGGACGACGGTGAGGAAGGAGGCGGCGCAGGAGGAGGAGGAAGGACCAGATACGGCACCCGGTCATCAAGTCACTCTTCCATCCAGTCAGCCATTTACCCATTCAGCCAGTCACTCCTCCAGCCAGACTCACCTTCACTTATACATACAGATACCCATTTACCCAGACACGCTTTGACCCCCCTTACTCATTCACCCTCATAACTCCTCCGTCCTTTCACCTCTTCACCCAGTCCCTCCTTCACCCATTAACCCCTTCGCCCAGTCGACTCATTCACCCATTAACCCCTTCACCCAGTCCCTCCTTCGCCCATTAACCCCTTCACCCAGTCCCTCCTTCGCCCATTAAGCCCTTCACCCAATCCCTCATTCAACCATTAACCCCTTCACCCAGTCCCTCCTTCGCCCATTAAGCCCTTCACCCAATCCCTCCTTCGTCCATTAATCCTTTCACCCAGTCCCTCTTTCGCCCATTAACCCCTTCACCCAGTCCCTCCTTCGCCCATTAACCCTTTCATCCAGTCCCTCCTTCGCCCATTAACCCCTTCACCCAGTCCCTCCTTCGCCCATTAACCCCTTCACCCAGTCCCTCCTTCGCCCATTAACCCCTTCACCCAGTCCCTCTTTCGCCCATTAACCCCTTCACCCAGTCCCTCCTTCGCCCATTAACCCCTTCACCCAGTCCCTCCTTCGCCCATTAACCCCTTCACCCAGTCCCTCCTTCGCCCATTAACCCCTTCACCCAGTCCCTCCTTCGCCCATTAACCCTTTCACCCAGTCCCTCATTCAACCATTCTCTTCACCCAGCCCCTCATTCAGTGTGTGTGTGTGTGTGCATATATATATACATATATTTATATATATATATATATATATATATATATATATATATATATATATTTACATATATACATATATATACATATATTTATATATATATACATATTTATATATACATATATATACATATATATATATATGTAAATGCATATATATATATATATATATATATATATTCATATATATATATATATATATATATATATATATATATATATATATATATATATGTACGTATGTGTGTGTATATATACACACAAATATATTTATATATATACATACATATACCCATATATATATATGTGTGTGTGTGTGTGTGTGTGCATATGCATATATATATATATATACATATACATATGTAAATGCATATATGTATGTGTGTGCATATGCATATATATATATATATATATATATATATATATATATATATATATATATATATATATATATGTAAATGTATATATACATAAATATATATATATAATATATCCATATATATATATATAAATGTGGGTGTGTGTATGTATATATACTCACAGATATTTATATATATACCCATAAATATGAACAAACACACACACACATTTATATACATACACATATATATATATTTACATGTGTATATATATATATATATATATATATATATATATATATATATATATATATATATGTATATACATACATACAAACATACACATATATTTATATATGTATATACATACATACAAACATACACACATATATATATGTATATACATACATACAAACATACACATATATATATATATGTATATACATACATACAAACATACACATATATATATATATATGTGTGTGTGTGTGTGTGTGTGTATGTATATGTACACATGTGTATATATATGTGTGTGTTTGCGCGTGCGTAGATGTGAGTATACACACATATATATTTTTATATATAAACATACACATATAAGGGAGCTTTGAGGAGCACCCATTCCCCGCCCTAAACAAAGGG